TTGTTTTGAATTTCAATCTGATGATGGCGGTGTTGTCTCGCCGAAACGTACCTGTACAGTGTGTATTATGGGGCCGGTGCGTGATATTGCAGAAGTAAAAATCGCACTTTCACGTGTCGGGTACAGGGCCAAACATAGGCAACTAAATGAATAAATTCACTTTCATTTTTCTTCCTTTTCCGTTGCGCATTGCTCCATGGAGCGACCTCACTCGCACCCCCAGTGCGACCTGCCTAATTGAACGGCGACCGCAAAAAGCGGCCAAATCATCGGAAATTTTTAACACACTTCTTCTGGCTGACACCTGTTTTAAGTGCCGAAGTGATAAAATTTCTCTATGACACACATTCGAGCCGGCAGCCAGCAGCGGTTCCTAATCATGCCACCAAAGTCGAATTCCGGCTGGTTCCGCTAATCAATGGCCGATTCTTTCTGCAGGTTGAGGGCATCATGCAACGGCCAACACACTAGAAAAGTGTCCAAAGGCAGAGCAAAACCCGTCAAGAATGACCGATTCCACACCGATATGTCGATGCAGGGTGCTCTATTTGGGCTCCAGCGTGCCCCACCAGACCAAAGACGGCCTCCAGGGCATCCAGGAACCATTGCAGGAGCTCTATCCAGACCAGGTGAGACAATCTAATGAAACCAGCAGGAATATTGAATTTCGAACATTTTTGGCTCCAGGGCGCCACTGGGGCAAAGGGAATCGACAGCTGGCTCAGCGTCTGGTCCAATGGAATCCTGCTGGAAAACGTCGACGAAAATCACAAGAAAATCACCCGGTTTTTCCCCATAGAAAGTCTGCACTATTGTGCAGCAGTAAGGTGAGCGGATACATTTGCGCTAGATTTAAGCCGTTTTTAAGGCAAAACTGGCCGAAATTGTGAAGATTTCGCATGCGATAACGGAACCTAGTCGAATATTCGTCATCGGTCATCGAAAGTAAACTGGATCTTGAACCGCGAAAAAGGTCAATCGTGCATTGAAATGTTGCTGCAAGGTTATGCCAACCGAAGGAATGCGCTAAAACTCTTTTCTATGGGCTTGTTATCCTTAAGGTCATCGTTAAAAATACTAACTGGAAACTTCGAAGCTTTAAGAAGAAGTTTTCAACAGAAATCAAAGTTTTAGGCTCTGCATTGGCGGTTTTTGGCTTGACTTCCACGGCTTATGAACTGTGATTTTCTATCAAAAACATCATTTAGGCCAAATGAGCTTTAAGCGTCTTCAATGTCCACATTTTCGCTTACAGCTTTTGAGAGGTTAGGAATTCCAGATAAATCCTGATGGAAAATACAGTTTCTGCGCATGAACGATCATCTATCTATATCTACCTTTCGATCAGGCCTTATCTGCGAAAGCATTATTTCCAACGGTTTGAGTTGAGCGGATTTAAAATTTACCCATTTTTACTTCTAGCAAATATGGGTTTTCAGAAGCTCTATTTTAAAGGTCTTTAGAGTTGAATCGCTTTTTGCGTCGGTTTCTGTAAGTTGGAAAATTAAAATTTCACATTTTCCTAAAAATTAGTGATTTTAAATGATCTGTAAGTGAGTAAAACAGGTCCTAAGACGCTCTATCGAAAACTTCTTTTTCAATCGTTTCCTATTGGAAATAGTCAATAACTGAACAAAAGATTATCTAAAATGAAACATAACCTAACAGAAAAGATACAGTTTCTGAAACGTCCTATCGAAAAGGTCGTTTGGACGGAATCGATATATTCAACGATTTCTGAGTTGCGAGGTCGTAAACTTCGAAAACCGCTGAAAATTACACATTTTTGTTTCTAGCTTTTTAAAGGTTAGGAATTTTAAATGAAACCTTTCATAAAAACTGTAGTTCCTGAAACGTTCTATCGAAAAGGTAATTTGAAAAGAATCGATATATTCAACGATTTCTGAGTTGCGAGGTCTTAAACTTTGAAAACCACTGGAAACTCCACATTTTTGCTTCTAACTTTTTAAAGGTTAGGAATTTTGAATGAAACCTTTAATAAAAACTGCAGTTCCTGAAACGTTCTATCGAAAAGGTAATTTGAACAGAATCGATATATTCAACGATTTCTGAGTTGCGAGGTCGTAAACTTTGAAAACCACTGGAAACTCCACATTTTTGCTTCTAACTTTTTAAAGGTTAGGAATTTTAAATGAAACCTTTCATAGAAACTGTAGTTCCTGAAACGTTCTATCGACAAGGTCATTTGGACAGAATCGATATTTTCCACGATTTCTGAGTTGCGAGGGCGTAAACTTCGAAAACCACTGAAAATTACACATTTTTGTTTCTAACTTTTTAAAGGTTAGGAATTTTAAATGAAACCTTTAATAAAAACTGCAGTTCCTGAAACCTTCTATSGAAAAGCTCATTTTGACTRAATCGATATATTCACCGATTTCTGAGTTGCGAGGTCTTAAACTTCGAAAACCACTGAAAACTCCACATTTTTGCTTCTAACTTTTTAAAGGTTAGGAATTTTAAGTGAAACCTTTCAGAAAAACTACAATTCTAGAAACGTCCTATCGAAAAGGTCATTTTCACTGAATCGATATATTCACCGATTTCTGAGTTGCGAGGTCGTAAACTTCGAAAACCACTAAAAATTACACATTTTTGTTTCTAACTTTTTAAAGGTTAGGAATTTTAAGTGAAACCTTTCATAAAAACTGCAGTTCCTAAAACGTTCTATCGAAAAGGTCATTTGGACAGAATCGATATATTCAACGATTTCTGAGTTGCGAGGTCGTAAACTTTGAAAACCGCTGAAAATTACACATTTTTGTTTCTAGCTTTTTAAAGGTTAAGAATTTTAAATGAAACCTTTAATAAAAACTGCAGTTTCTGAAACGTCCTATCGAAAAGGTCATTTTGACTGAATCGATATATTCACCGATTTCTGAGTTGCGAGGTCATAAACTTCGAAAACCACTGAAAACTTCACATTTTTGCTTCAAACTTTTTAAAGGTTAGGAATTTTAAATGAAATCTTTCATAAAAACTGTAGTTCCTGAAACGTTCTATCGACAAGGTCATTTGGAGGGAATCGATATTTTCCACGATTTCTGAGTTGCGAGGTCGTGAACTTCAAAAACCACTGAAAATTACACATTTTTGTTTCTAACTTTTTAAAGGTAAGGAATTTTAAATGAAACCTTTCATAAAAACTGTAGTTCCTGAAACGTTCTATCGAAAAGATCATTTGGACGGAATCGATATTTTCAACGGTTTCTAGGTTGCGCGCTTTCAAACTTTGATGGTCCTGTTAACGTCCACGTTTTTGCTTATAGCTTTTTAAAGGTTATTAATTTTAGATGAAACCGCATATGAAAAATAGACCTTTCAGATTCTCAATCATAAATTTCTTTCGAGCACAATCGGTATTTTCAAGCCTTTCTGAGTTACGCGCTTTTGAACTTCCAAGACCAGTAAAAACTCCACATTTTTGCTTCTACCTTTTTAAAGGTTAGGAATTGTAAGTAAAACCTATTAGCAAAAATACAGTTTTTGGGACTTTGTATCGAAAAGGTAATTTGGGCGCAATCGATAATTCCAAAAGTTTCTGAGTTACGCGCTTTCAAACTTTGATGGTCCCTTGAACGTCCACATTTTTGCTTATCGCTTTTTAAATGCTACGAATTTTAGACGAAATCTCAATACGAAAAACAGTTTGAGATTCTCGATCAAAAATGTCATTGGAGGAAAATCGGTATTTTGAAGCGATTCCGAGTTACGCGCTCTTAAACGTCAACGACTCCTTAAATGTCAGTCCTACTTGAATAGTGCCAAACTCTAAATCTAGTGAGCATTTGGCAAAATTGACGTTGACGCTTTTGACGGTTAACTGAAAAACTGTGTTTTTGACGGCCGGAATGTTCCCGTTATTGAAACGAAAAGTCTTCAAAACAATGAAGCAAAACGTGGCCAGCTAGACAACGCCTTTATGAGTCTTACGGGTTGAACAACAATGACTTTCACGGTAAAATATCGAGTGTTTCTTCGCAGGGACGCATTGACCTTAAAATGGCGTGCACGCTTCATATGCCAGCGAAATATCATAAGCCGTTCTAATTAATGGTATGTGATTGCGGGCATTCTTCCATGACGAAGAAAGCCTGAAAATGCGGAGGAAACTTTCAGGCCCCTCGGTGCCGTTCAACTGATTCGCCTGAACCCGCGCAACTTCTTCATTTCAATTTTTAATTGCCTGCGGAGGCCATGAGAACATGCGCTGCATCCGCTACATATTGATGGTTGATCGTAAACATTAATGGAAGGAAGCGCAGATTTTCTGGGGCGGCTTCGCATGACAAAAAACGGCCTTTTGGCTTCCATTCAAGTACCTCGGATGCACCTGACTTTCCGGCAATTAGGCGCAAAAGGCCCTTGAAGATGCGCAGGCTGGCTTCGTTCTAAGGTCGCGCAATTAATTCAATTATTTCCACGATTACACTTTAGCCTTCGCGGTTGCATTGTCCGACAATTCGCATCGATGCGGATCGATTGGAAGAAAATGCCACATTTTCTTCTCGGCCCAGCACGTTATCGGTTGCGTAAGATCGCAGGTAGTATGTCAGTCTTCGGCTGAAGAACAGGTTTCTTCGAAAGAATCTCGTCGACTTGATAGTGGCCTCAAGATTCTTGAGAACGGCCCCGATTTGCCTATGTTTAATTCATTCGGAATTCTTGATCGATCATAATGTCGGAACTGGATGCCCCCGTCCATGATGGGTGGGAACGAAGACAAAAGTTCTGGCTCGCATAGTCGACATTCCATCCATCCTGCCAGCGCGATTTTCCCTTCTTTCCATCGGCCAAGTTACGGTTTTGTTCTATGGTTATGGTTGCTGTTGGTGAAGTAAAGTGGACACACTCTTAATGTATGAATAAAAGTATATTGATAAATGATAAAGAACATGTGTTGTATTTTATTATACAAAAGTAGATTTCCGAACACGAGAACGATTCTGTATCAGCAGCGATTTGACGACGACTAACTAAAAAGGTTGTTCTCCCCATAAACAAAAAATTATGCTGCCTAAGCAATATGGCTTTGTGGTACATTGTGGTCCAAAATATATATGGCTGAACTTAAATTGAATATTTACCTCGTGTGATAATCTGTCCGTTTGAAGTGTGCAATTATCGAAAAATTACAGCGGTAATTGCACAGTGTGCAATTATCACTCATCGATAATTGCATTGTTTACGAAAAATATTTGACAGGTGTCTTTTCATGTTGAATTAGACATCAAATGTCTTCCTGACATACCTAAGATTACCAATTAACCCCGAAAATTTCACGTCGTCATGGAATCATAATAAATATCACTGTTGACTGATTTATTTAATGTGATTGATGTGAAATATGTTCTCAAAAATTAATAAAAATGAATCGTTTTGGAGATATTCCCGACGAATATATTGATAAATTGGTGGTTAGCAGCGAACCGACAAACACCGCAA